TTTCAGTGTATTTGAATATATACTATGGTGCTTAATATTACTTTAGAGCAATTGGAGTTCTCTGTCTCATTGTAACAATACCAAAATGGACAAGTCAGGAATTTTAAATTATAGAATATATCATAATGTTCACTATTAATGGCAAGAGAGATCTACATCCACACTGGAGTCTATCAAATACACAAATCATAAACACTTATCCTATTTTATTGCAAATGTTAAATTATCCAATTAGCTTTAGATAGCTGAATTAGAAAAGACCAGACTGTTTCTGCTGATTATCTTCATGGCAATCTTCCTAATTTTTTTAAAAGTATTGGGTCATCTAAAAATGACAAAGAAGATTATGGATTCCAATAATAAAAATGTGATTCCCAGTTTGATTAAGGACATAAAAGATTATGTTAAGACAACTATTTAGATATTTCTTGTGAGCAGTGCCTTATGTATATCTAAAAACTGTACAATAATTTCACTCTAACAAGGGGAGCCAAAGTTTATGGTTCTTATATAGGACGAGGGTGGCTCCAGATAGTTTTGATTAAGTAAATACAGTTGGCCTCCTTTAATTGTATTGGCAATTTTTCATACTGGCATATGTTACGAAATAAATGAAATAAGCACCTAATGTTGGCGGTACTTCTTCCACACAGATTCTGTTCATATATCAATAGGACCAAAGCTCTAATAACATTCAGTGATAAAGATACAAAGATTTAGAAAACCTGAAAGCAGCAAACCTGTACAGAGTAAGACAGTACAAATTATTCCCCCCACTCCCAGAGATGGCGAACATACTACCGTAGGTTTTAGGCACACAACTTTTATCTGACATAGACATTGTATGAATGGAACAGGCTGTTTTTTTAAATTGTCCAATTACACAGCATGATGAGCTAGTAGATGGGCAGTCACCTGTATCTGCAGCATGATGAGCTAGTAGATGGGCAGTCACCTGTATCTGCTGCTATTGGCAGCGAGGGATCAACAATCTACACTGGCATACTGAAAGAAATCTTGCTTCCTCTGAGAAATTCAGTATTGCTGATTTCCTGTTGACAATAGTAATAAGAAACCAACAATCTAGCACATAATTGCTGGGAGAGTTTAATTAGGCTTACACAACCCTTCCAGTAATCTTCCACTAAACCACTGCTTTCTAGAGCAGGAAATGAATAATCTGCAGGCAGATTTTTCTCATTGAATATGGTCGATTGTTCAGAAAGGTGGCACCCGTGTAGAGATGAAAGCAACTCTAGCAATCAGTGTTGTTCTCTTGGAATTATTGTTTCAACAGAAGGGAATATATAGTTCAGGGCTGAACAGTGAAGTTCTTGGTACTAAGCTTGCTTGTTAAAATGTCTGCCAGCAAACATTAAGTTCAGAGACCACCGAGATCTCCACATTATAAAGTTTGAAGAAGTAATTTAGACTGTGAGTTCTAGTCCTGTTTTTGGTATAAAAGCCAACTGGGTGAATTTGGGCCAGTCACTCTGTCACGCCAACTCACTTCACAGGGTGTTGTGGGAAAATAGGAGGAAGGTGTGTTGGATGTTTGCCACCTTATTTTTAAAAATAATAAAGGTGGGAAATAATAAAGACCAGTTTAACCATTTGCTCATTACAAGAATTAAAGCATTCCAGGCATAGTTATTGAGCTGCCACCTAAAAACATCTAACAGAACTTGCCATCTCTTTGGATAATTGGTTCCATTCTTAGCCTATGCTGTCAAATTCTGCTTCCATTATTTTGTATTCTACACTCTTAAATGTGCGTCCTGACCTTCTAAGTTCCATCATATCACCCATTCTTTCTCAAGTTTAATATATCCTGCTGTTTTAATATGCCTTTAATTTTTTGTCCCCTAATCATCTTTGTACCCTTTTCTGAACCAGCTTCATTTTCTCTTAAAGCATGGATCCCAGAACTGGACTTTGTCCCTCAAGATGTTGTCTAAGCAGCCATAAGAGAATGGAACAATTATTTGCCTTAATTTAGAAAGCCTACTTATAATCGTAACATGTTAAAAGTTTCAAGAACCACTGGAGATCAGTTAGTCCAACCCATTCCCAGTCCAAGTACCTATTGCTTCAACAATCCTGACAAGAAGCCATTTCTTTTGTTTATACACTTACAAACATTAAGAAGTTCCTTATCCCTTAAAGCAGATTGTTCCACTGTTGAAATTTTGTTACATTTTTGTTTTGAAAGCCCAACCTTGAGCTTGTTTGGAGCTTAGCAGTGGGGCGCAGCTATCGTATACCCTTGACTGAAGATAGGTACACTCCTTCTGTGTTGGATGGTCGTCCTCTTCCACTGAGCGCAGAGCTACGGGAGGGATACACATGGAGCGGTGAGGAAGGAGACACCCGCCTAGCCAGCCAGATCAGCCAAATCAACCCTGGTGATCAACGGGGAGACAGATGTCGCAGCCAGATCGCTCTCCTATCCAATCAAAGTCCAACCAAAATCTTACTTCCTTATAAAATTAAGCTTATTGTTATCTTGTGAAATAATTTTGAACAAATTTATGTCCTATTCCATTGATCGCCTTTTGCAAATTTGAAGAGTACTATCATGCCTCACAACATTTTTTTCTCCAGAAACAGATGAAATTTTCCCATCAGATTTTCTTTTCTTGAAACGAGAGCCCAAAATTGGAGGCTATGTTCTAGAACAGAAGCAACGATTCTTAATCTTGACACTGTATTTTTTGATGCAGCCTAAAATAGTAACTTTGGGAGGAGCAACCACGTAACACAATGATCAGAATAGAATTTTACATTTGTGGATTAACAATATTACAAATAGAACATATTTTAAGTGTTGAGATTATTACTCAACATAATTTAACTTGTTAGCATTATAAAACTACTGTAGCAAGCCAAAACCAACTTTTATTTATTGCTACACATTCAGCCCACCTATTAATTCTATATGGATTCTAAATTTCTGTCCCAAAACTACGTATCATAGCATAAATGTTGATAACATCAGTTTAAAAACAATACAAATAACTAGGATCGAGTATGCTTGCAGATAATTATTTTTCAAATTCAAGTACTCAGGCATGGAATGTACTTCCTGAAGTATTATGTGGATTGAAACAAAATTCTCCACTGGATTTTATTATCTAAATGTTACAAGGCAGTACTGGGCAGTTTATATATTTACTTTCAATTAATTATCTTAGTCCGATTTAATAATGAATTATTTCAGCTATGTACATTCATTATTGACTAAAATCATTAAAATACCTATGGCATTATTCAAAGGTCCACTTGTAATATTTGTAATGTGAATAATGTAATTAGAGACCAGGCAGGACGAAACATACTTTATTGTACTGCAACATCAAAACACATGAAGAGTACATCAAAGACCATGCCAATGACAGATCATCAGAGTAGTAAAATAAAGGGGATATTACTGAAATCAATATTAAAGACTATTCACTACACTATTTTAAGTATCCTTACTGAACTTAGATGCAGCATACACATCTACCGGTACATCTTGTCCTTCTAAAATGCGTAATAGAAATTTTTAAAAGATCAAACTAAGAGGGATGGCAAAGTGCCACCTCTGGAGTGCAAAAAATATAACCACAATCCCATCCCCCTTCAGCCTGCTACTTATGTATGATATTACAGACATCTTCAGAGAACATAATTCCTAAAGACACTTGCAATGGTATCACTTCCTATCCCAGCCATTACCAGTATGGTTAGGAAGATTAAAGTTATTACCAATATCTCACCAACTATAGAAATACTCTTGTGTATTCTTTGCTCAATGATAGAATTTAACAAGCGCTTAGGAATCTATTGCAGTAAAGCACATCTCATATATGTCCTTATTTATGAAATATTTAGTACTGACAAGAAGAGTACAAAGTTGTGATTAGTCCTATAAGATTCAGCTCTTGGATTTCCAAAAACATGCCACTGAGGGAAGGCCATGCCAGCAGCAACATTTGGGTACCTGTGACTAAGGAGAGTATATAGAAATATTTGCTCTGATGAAGAATCAGTACTGCAACACAAGTAACTTGCTAAAGGAAGCACCAGATCATTCACTTACAAGGTACAGCCTAATGAGCTTCCTGTGTTGGTAAAAGCAGCAAAGGCCCAGCATCACAAAGATAAGATGCATCTAAGATCTAAGCTTTGACATCAGAAGCAGCATCTGAAGACAAGTTGTAAGCTATTTAAACAGGCATGGATTAAATGCCTGAATGTATACGTGCCCTCCTTCCTGATAGCCAGGTTTTAATGCAGAACTAAAGGTTAAGCAAAAAAGGGGGGGGAATAAACTCCAAGACTAAGTTTCTATTTAAGATCAACTAAGAAGGAAAAGGAATAAGATAACTGCTTAATCCCCATAATTATCAACATACTTTTGAACCAATACAATACAGTCATTTCTCAATATTTTAAATTATGCTTGGAAAAATAGAGACATAGTTTTGTCCTATTTGCTTAAACAAGTAGTAGAACATCAGCCACATGGTAAAAGTGTTGCTTAAGTAAATGACGAATGAAAACAACTTTGGGTTACACGAAGAAAGACAAGCATAGATTCCATTCTACCAATGAACCCCAACAAGAATATGAATCAGCGGCCAGCACAAACTGGACAAAACACTGAATCTTTTCAGCATTCTTCACAAGGTCAGAACTCTTCGTCAGCCAGTCACGTAAGGTGGAAAATCTGGCTTAAAAATGAAATAAAAACTGAGGACAAAATGGAAATAAATTAAAAGGCATCCTTATGATGTAACAGGTTTTACAAACTAAAATACAACTGATTTCTCTAATAAAAGAAATTTCCAAATTCCTTTTGGATGATTTGTAGCTTCAAATGCTTACATAGCTGAGACTGAAAAAGTGTTACAGCATCCAGATAACGTTCTCTATGAATAACAAGGGTTAAAAAAAGAAAAATAATAAAGAAAAAGGAACACTCCATATGGAATTCTCTTTCCCTCTCTGTAGTTCCCTCTTTCCCTCTCTTTGTAAGTTCATGAATCCAACGCAGATGCTAAGGTAACAGCGTATGTAAGTAAGGGTTGGTTTTTTTTGTTGATTTTTCTTTTTTTAAGTTTCAACAAAGAAAGCCTGAAGATGAAGAGATTTCCATTCAGGAGTTATCAGACGGAACATGCTCTTCAAAACCCTCGCTTTCTCGGACTAAAGCTCTTTCCAGGATAACACGGCCTTCCTTGTAGCGCTGGCTGTCTTCAGTAGCAAATTCATATATCCAGCCAAGTTTGCTGTTGCAGTTCTTGCAGCTAACATCACGAACCATATGACGGCCAGTGAGCATAACTCGGTCTTGAACTTCACTGTACTGCAGATTTACTACCTAAAGGAAGTTAAAAAGAGAGAAGCATTTGACTGATTGATTTATATCCCGAATTTTCTTTAGGAGCTCAATGCAACACTCTTTTGTCACATTTTTTCCCCAGTAACAACTCTGTGAGGTAGGTTAGACTGAGAAAAATGTACTGGCTGAAAGTTAGTGAGCTTCCATAGCCAAAGAAGCTAACATTTGGATCTTCCTACTAGTCAGACACCTTTCCCATTGCACTATATTTCAGTCTTATTACATTTGCAGTGACAACTTATGATCATTAGAGAACTATGGAAAAAATAATTCTCAACTTTTAATGTCACTCCTTAACTACTCTGTATAAGCAGCACAATAGCTTTAATTGGAATTTTGCTCTGTTGATAAACACTACTATGGTAACAATTCCTTCAACATGTTTTCTTCCCCTAATAATGTTCTCTATTTTGGAGACAAATTACCCTTCAAAATTAAGCAAGCTATGCATTTTAAGGAGGTAGAATTCAGCCCAAAGTAAGGTCTAACGATGTCCAGCAAATCCTACACATATTATAATCTGTATTATTTAGGCAAATATAAGTACATTAATGAACTTGGTCTATAAGTTATAGTTTGTTAGAACATAAATTAGTTACCACTTTATCTCCAATGTTTTACCCATTTGTTACATTCAAATTTTCAACATTTTCAGCAATTGAAAGCTGACTTTTTCTAATCTTTAACAAAAATCGATATTGTAGCAAATTTTACATCTGAAAAGAACCCTAGGTGACTGTTATTATCACATTGTTAGAATTCTTAAATGGACATTTCTGCTTCACCTAACCATATATTGCAGGAATACTGAAATCACACTAACTAATTTTAGATGTCTTTAACTAACCTTGTTAAATAAAAAGGCTCGTCCTGTAGCTCCTGTAAAACGGGTAGATATAAGCTCTGAGCGGTTGGTCAAAATTGTGTCACAATTTGCACAGGAGAATAGGCGAGTACCACCAATATGATCCAAGAAGATGCGGCCCATTTTAAAAATTATTAGAGCCCTAAAAAACAGAAACAAATTGTATTAATGTTGAAAAGTCAAAGTAAAGCAAAATACTGGTGAGAATTATATTTAAAAAATGTTGACAGAGTGCATAATATCAGTAATAACTTTCATAAATATTCATTGTGGCTACTTAAATGACTAGATATCGCCACCTTCATATCCAACTCTCTGTTACTATGTCTATAGAAGTTGGCCTCATGTTCAAAAAGAGGGAGGAAAAAAATCATGATTTTTTCAAAATCAGATGATTTGCAAATAGCTCAGACACAATCCATCTCCCTATGCTGCTTTACAAACACGAAAAAGCAAGCAAGAAAAATCACTTCTTCATTACTTCTATTATTTATTTTAGAAAATAACCAAGAGCACTGAATGCAGCCAGATTCTTTTCCCTCTACCTTTTGAATAGCCAGCTGCCCATCTGTACCACAAGGCTGTGTAAGTCTATAATTCCATGTAGGTGAAACAGGTTTGTTGTTTCTTTAACAAAATGAAAGGTGATGTTCATCTCCTATAAACCCACTCAGACATTCTCTCCATGCCATTAGCTTCAATGTTATTTGGGGTCTTCCAAGTTAGATCACAATCCTTATTCTGAACCTAGCTTGACCCATCATAGTAATTTCATTCTGTGATTTTGATTTTGACTCTAGCGTTCCCTTAATCATATTACTTCTGTATTATTACAAAATCTCAAACAATTCTTTATGGCAATTTGCCTGTGACCTGTCCCTGGCCTGCTTGCCCTTGCTCTCTTAAGCTATTTGATTCCCCAAACACAGCTTGAGAGATCCCATTTTGCTCGTTTTCCCAAAAGCTGTGATTGAATAATGAGGAAAACAATGCTACTCTGATCCCACAGGGTAATCTGATCTAATATGTTTCTGTATATTCCAGAATCCAATATTTCTGCTTTATTTCCTTCCTACTAAGATATTTTATGCAAGCTGTACCTTTGCCCTAATCAGTACCAGAACTTCACCAAGGTTTTTGAATTAAACCAGGGTATGTTTGAGCCATTCATCTCATCTCAGATGTTTTATTCCAAATTGCTCCAATTGTAGGCTTTTCTTTAGTATGCAACCCTGGGAACCACTGACCATAGAACTTGTCAGTAGAACTTTTAAAAGTTGCAAAATGTATCATTAAAATATTTTGACCATTTAATATATTTTACACATTAAAATACTCAAAATCAACTAAAAATATAGTATTATATGAAAAGTTTTAGAGTTATGTATATATTGAAAAGAAAATATAATTGATACTTTCAAATATCAGAACATTCTTTTGTTGTCCAAAGATAAAAGAACCATGGATTTAAATGAAAAGAACAGGAGGATATTTGCTGCAGAAACAAAATATTCTACTTAGAATTTCTAAATAAAGACAAGTTGTCATGGATAATTATAGTAGTCCATAAGGTTGTATTTGAAACGAATTGTACATGACCATTAAATCTCCCTACGAACTTTCATGATTCTATGTACCAATATTACACTTATGTGAGAACAAACTGCAAGCCTTTGACTGGAAAGACTGTAAATGGAAAATAGCCCCAGATAAATCTGGATAAATAGACCAGGTAAATTAATCAGGATAATTTATTTACTATACTTAGGACATAAGCTACTTCTTTTTCCATGAGGACTCACAAGAACAAAATCGAATTAAAAGATGGAGGAAGGACACCAGGAAGAAGGATGTGGAAGAAGAAAACTTTAAACTGTCAGAATGAAGCCACCTTCTTGACTTTATCACTGACCAAAAATAAATCATTATTGGTACAAGTTTCTGGTAGTAGCTGGCATATCAGCAGATGGACTGGGCTCTTTATCTCTCCTCATTCACACAGTGTGCTATTATCTGCAAAGAGTTTCCACTTGAGCATATTGGTTTTACATTTAGGCATTCTAACTCAAACGAATTCAAGGTCCTCCAAGCAGTATAAAGGAGATCAGAGCCTTCAGCTACTAATGTTAGTCCTTGCTTAATGGCCTTCTTCCTCCATCTTTTAATTCGATTTTGAAGAAGGTTTGTTTTTGCCATAAAGTTGTTTCTAGATCTAAGTCAGCGTGCTTGGGGCATCTGTCCATAGGATTCAACAATCATTCTCTTGTTAGTTCTCTCGGAATCAGCTACTCCTCTCCTGATCTTAGGTGGAACAATGACAGCAAGAGGATATAGTTTGTCAATTGGTGTAGGTTTGAGGCAACCTGTCACTAAGCGTACTGGTTCATTGACAGCGATATCAATTTGTTACATAGGCTACTATTAAATTCCTAAGAACTTGATAAAACCAGCCTCCTACACCTCACTGTCTACAAAGCCTATACGCTTATTTAGAGAGATATGTGTACAAAAATAAATGTTAAAAAACAGTGCAATATATAATTCTTAGTTTCAGATTGCAAACATCATTCTTCAAAAGATAAATCAAGCTGAAATCTGAAAACAATCACCAAAAGCCAGTATATAACGAAAGAAAAAATATATAATTTCAAAAACATTTATTATGGCATATACTGTTGTAGTCTAGCTGTATAACTATTTTAGATGAGAAAGTAAAACAATTTATAGAAAATATTCTCTATTATACTATTCCAAAATGTTTTACGACATTTCTGCTTGTGGCCTATATTCCATTGTCTTCTAGAGACCAGGTGGCAGCTCAGAAAATAAGAATATTCAACTAACAAATCACTAGATATCAAAATCTGAAAAGACATGAAAATGATACTGTTATTATCATTGTTCTTTTTTTACCCATTTTTAACAAAACAAGGAATATGGAAAAACCTAGCATACTCTTCCTTATAGAATAATTTATGTAGTTATTATGGGTCTAGTTTTTTAAAGGAAAATCACTTGCCCATTAGTACTTTTCAGCACAACCATTACAATAACTGGATTGTAATACTTTATTGATCCCACCCACTCCAGAATTTTATGCAGACAATTTAAAACAATGATTTAACATCCTATCAGGCATGAAGACCTGATATTATAGGAAAGCCCAAGGTTAATTCAGATGGTTAAGTCTTATTAGTTAATTCACTGACCACCTTCAGAGTATTTCAAGATATAACCCTCTCCTTACCATCATTCTTTGTCTGGATTTGTTAGATTTATTGATTGCCATGAAGTTTTCCCACTTATATATATTTATTAGCAAAGAAAGATATGCCTTAGTTATTTTGGAGAAGCATCCTTTCAAAAACATATTTAATACACTAAAAGAATGGATTGAAGAGATCTGTATGTGTGTTTGATTCATGTAACTTTTTAATTCTAAAATGAATATATCTTCTTTATAATTAGCAGAGATGATTAAATGCAGTACCATCAACATAGTAATTAACATTCCAGACTAGAAGCCAGAAAATAAGTTCTAGTCCTCCTTTAAGGCATGACATCCAAATCGGTGAGTTTGGGCCAGTTACTCTTTTAGTGGGCAGTTGTTTGGGGATTGGAATACATTTTGTTGTTCCTTAAACAAATGTGAAATAAATTCTATAGAATCTGAAGAAATTTTTTTTTTAGTATATATTTTATTTTTATTCAGAAACATTTTGAATACAGCGTATTGTCAGGACATAACTGAAGAAATAATTTTAATGCAATTCTAATCTATATTAAGACTGGATAAAATAGTACAGTTTTTTTTTAAACAAAAGTGGACTACTGAATGAATCCAGCATGGTTAAAATCTGTCTTTTCCACCCAATGAATGCAAACTTGTGGAAACACAACGATCAGGCATTTCGAACCAAAGAATGAACTACTAGAGAAATAAGAAAAGAAAAAGAAAAGCAGAATTGTTTCCTGATAGCATTTCCATCACATGAGCAGCTGTGCCACAAACCTTCCCACCAATCATGAGAGAACACTCCAGGAGTTACTTTTGCCACCTCCGCCAGAAACCCAAGACCCATCCCGACAGCGCATGGAAGAGGAAAAAAAAATAGACCTGAAACCTGATCACGTGCCTCGCCCCCTCCAATCAGCAAGGATTCTGCCTACTTCCTTCACATGGGAGAATGAGGTGAACCCAGATGATTTGACAACACACACAGAAAAAGAAACAGCTGACAAAGAGACCAGCAAGGCCTCCTGTTGTTATCTCCACAGACAGGATAAGGAAGGAAAAGGAAGCTGTTATTAGATTTAGAAACTTTTACATTCAGGAACCTCTTATACATTTATAGGTATCCAAGACGGCAACAGGGATAAAATTTATATGCGGTCAGTGAAGTGGCTGTATTTTGGGGTGGGGGGGGGGGGGACAAGACTCTAAAGGAACATTTTAACTGGAAGAAGCATACCTCAGTAAGCGAACTGCAGCAAGCCTAAGGATTTCTGTCACTTTTCGGAATCAGCACATCGCTAAAACAAAAATAAGCAGGACCAACGCAGAGCTTTAAACGGGTTGCTCAGAATAACGCGTAGGCGTGCAAAACACAAATAAAACTGGTTTCCTTACAGGAGCGACACCCTCAAGAGTTGTCCTAGGTGGAGGAGGAAACAATGGAGTGGAAAAAGGACGGAAGCACACGCACCACACAGGCTTCTCTCTCTCTCTCTCTCTCTGTTTCTTAGTCCCACCGGAGCGGGACAATCGCGGCCGCACTTTTAGCCCGTTTGCCGCAGAAAAGCTAATCCCTCCTCACGGATCTCCTCTGCGGCGCCGGACAAAAGGCAGCCAGCGGGGGAATGGCTGAAACTCAGGGCAGCAGCCCAACCACGGCCGGTCCAGGCTGGGCAGCTGAGCCGAAAAACATAGCCCTTTCGCTGTGGCGGCCGGAGGGGGAGGAGGAGGAGGAGGAGAGGATGCAAGGGCGGCGGGCTGCTGGCAGGGGGAGGCGGCGGCGGCGGCCCGACACACAGGAGAGGCGGGAGGGCGGGCGGGCGCGCAGCTTCGTGCCATATTGGGTGTTATTGTGCCATAACTGAGTGTTATTGTGATAATGCGAGGGCGGGGCCAGTTGGGGGGTGGGTTGTTTGGCTGCTGGGAAGGGCAGGGCGAGTGAGGAAGTGAAGGCAGGAGAGGCAAACGGGAAGGAGGTTTGCGCTGTGGGGGGTGGGGGGAGGGGAGTTTGGGAGAAAGAAAACAAGAGGCGCGCCGGACTGCCCGTCGCCGAGCAAAAACAGCGAGCCCGGAGAAGAAGAAAGGGGATGCAAAGGGCCCTGAGACGAAGAGGAGAGGCTCTCCAAGGCCCCCGGACGCAGCTCCTTCGGCCACTGGCCTCCCCACCCCCGTCTCCAGAGCCCCGCGGAGCAGCAACAGTAGAAGCAGCCATTACCTACCAAGAAGTGACCCGCGACTCCGAGGCAGCCTGGACTGAAAGGAAAAAGCGGGCAGCCAAAGAGCCGCCTCGGCGCCGGCTACCTGCTTCGTCCCCGAGAAAGCTCCGAGCGTCGCTCTCCCCACTCAGCCAGGCAGGTCCCACTCTCCGGCCCTGGCTTGGCTCCGCCCACCGGGAGGAGGATCCCCCCCTCCCCCCTTCAACTGTGTCAGTCGTGGCCATGCTAAGCTGAGGAGGGCGGTCTCCTCTTAGCGCGAGCCACGCCCCTCCGCTGACGCGGCTCGAGCCTCGCACAAACATTGAGGCCACGTGGGGGCGGTGGTGTGTGTGTGGGGGGGGGGAGGTGTTTCCTTAAAGGGCCAGAGGCTGGACCGAGAAGTCTGGGAAGGCGATGCGTTTTGCGTCGTCGGGTCTTCCCGTTCGAGTCTCTTTGTTGGGGCTTGCTCGTCGCCTGGGAAAGCCCTTGTTTTGTTCCTTTCCGTATAGAAAAATATTACTAGATTCCGTGTCACAAGGAAAGGAGGGAAGAAAGATCCATTCGGTGCAGTTTTGTTGTGGGAAAGGAGAATGAAGACATAAGGTCTTAATTAAGTGTATTCATTCTTAAACAGAAAATAAGGGCCTCAACTTAATAATGTAGTGCAATAGCTATATGTACATGTTCCATTGTTTGCTTACAAAAACAATCATGTATATTATATACTTAATTGCAATAGACTGGAGAGTTGCTGCCCTGAAAAATAAGATATTACGTCACCGTCTCAGAGGCTTTGTGTGGCTATGGATAATATCCATAATAAATTGTAAACATATAGGTAATGTAAATGGATGGGCTGTACAGTGTATCTCATGAAACAAAGCACAGACTAATGGACACAACTACCTGCTAGCAAGCAAGGAATGTAGTTGGGTTTCTGGAACAATTATATTGGCATTAGTGTTCAAAGACTTTTCTGCACACTACAAGCCTGCCTTGGAAGAGATTGCCAGTTATCTTTTCTGGAGTAGATGTGACTCCTTTGTCCACCTTTGTCATCTAAATAAACACAATCTGGAAATCAAAATGTGAACATACTGTGAGCACCCCTACATTGATAGAATTTGTGCCCGAAGCAGCAACAAGACAAAGCTCTTAGGTGGATGGGTGATCTAGAATTCTGCCATCACTTTATAAAAATAGAATTGAGGATGCTTTGGGATAACCAAATCTTCCATCCACACTTTTTTCATGGCCTGAATATGTTTACAGATAAATACATCTATGCATCTTAAATGAAAATAAGTATGTTCATGGATAACTTTTTCTCAGGCTTTTACTTTTTAACAGATCCTTGGACAGATATTGGCACAGCAGGGGAAAAAAACCTACGGGTGTAAAGTAAATTTGGAAGTTGAAAAGAAAAATTCCAGACATCAATGCCAACTTCCTTAATGTTGCCAAGAATGCTGTCATCATGAATCCACCCTGTCTACCAAATAAGAAATGTATTCATAAATGAATGGCTTATTTCTGAATAGATATTTTTAAGTTCTTCTGTTGTAAGAACCTGTGAACTTGAACAGTAGCTTTTCCCACCTCAATGCAGCTATAATGCTCACCTTTACAAGTATCCTGTTGGAAGTTAAAACCCACCCCCCTCCTAGAGAAATGAAATATCTTAGGATATATTAAAAGGCAGAATATTTCCCCTAAAAGAGAAGTAGAAATTCAGAGAGGCAGAAACTCAACCCCCCATTAAGGCTTGGGCCAGTCTATTCTACATTACAAAGTTCTACCTCCTTCAGGTAGAGTCATAATAGGAATCGCCCAAAACCCTTTCATTACATCATCACCTAGCAAGAGTCAACCAACCCTGGGACTCAAAAGACAACTTTCCCCTGCATGGCCCCATAGGAGTCTGACAACCAATCAGAACACAAGCTCAAGTTCAAAGCCACAGAGGGCATAAAACCCAGGCACTCTCAGCATCTCCCCTTTTTCGCTCAGGAGCTCCAAGGCATGATGTGATCCTGTCCACCGTTAAACCATATTTCCAAACAGCCACCATGTTTCCAGTGTCCTTTTCTCCACTTGGAACTGAACCCAGAAGGATATTTTCTTCCAACACTGAATTTTATTTAATATGACTGTTGGGCTTTCCATCAATCAGATGCAATGGTCATCTGAAATCCAGTCCCCTTTTGAAAATATGACCATTAAAAATATGGGAAGAAAAACAGTTATATCCATTTATTACAACACAATGTCTCTCTCACACACAACATCTTAGAATGTTTTATCAATTGCAGATTATTATAAAGCTTGCATCTGAATAAAATGTAATTCCAGTTCAGTTTCAGTACTAGTATTTATTCAGATTATAAAATTTATGGAAATTTAAAATTAAAAAAAAAAAAGAATATACAGATTACAACTAGTCATAGATTATTACTGAGTTACCAGTTACATTGGTCAGTTTATAGTATTCTTTTATATACAGTAAAACTCTTCCTGAAAAATTTTTCAATGCAAAAAGGACTCCCATAGTTTTAAAACCACGTGAAGCACACAAAGGCAAATCAACAGCAGTAACAGCTTATAGTTGAAGATCTGGACAGCAAGTACCTATAATAAGATGACCTCTCAATCCATCCATTCTTGTAATCCATGGAAGACAACTGAAAATACAGGTAATCCTCGACTTAACAATCAAAATAGATCCCAAAATTTCTGTTGCTAAGTGAAACATTTGTTAAGTTGAGTTTTGGTCCATTTTACAACCTTTCTTGCCACAGCTGTTAAGTGAATCACTGCAGCTGTTAAATTAGTAATCCGGTTGTTAAGTGAATCTGGCTTTGCCATTGATTGCTCGTAAGAAGGTCACAAAAAGGGATCATATGGCCCCAGGACACTGCATCTGTCATAAATATGAACCAATTGCCAAGCATCCACATTTTAATCACATGACTGAGAGGATGCTGCAATGGTTGTAAGCAGTGGTGGGATTCATTTTTTTTTACTACTGGTTCTGTGGGCGTGGCTTGGTGGGCATGGCAGGGGAAGGATACTGTAAAATCTCCAGTCAGAGGTGGTATTTGCTGGTTTTCCAAACTACTCAAAATTTCCGCTACCAGTTATCCAGAACTGGTCAGAACCTGCTGAATACCACCTCTGGTTGTAAGAGTGAAAAACGGTCATAAGTCAATTTTTTTAGGGATATTGTAACTTCAAATGGTCACCAAACGAACTGTTGTAAGTCAAGGACTACCTGTTGTCAGTATAAGATTTGGTTAACCAAAACCAAATAGTTGATATAAGTAAACTTAATTCCCTTAAATATGAGCAGGAACTACAGTCCCATAAAGAAAAATTGTAGGAACAGAATATATTTAACCTTGAGTGATGGGGATATGATAACACTCATCAAGTACCTGATAGAGTGCCACAAAATCAGTTTTACTCTTGCCTTTTGGTATATAACACAGTACAGATTTTGTCAGGGAAAACTTTCTAATAACACTTTGACAGTGAAAGCAATTACTGAGAATGCTTCCATTGCTGGATGCATTCAAACAGAGGATGGGCAGCCATCTTTCAGGATCTTACAAACTTAGTTTTAAATGGTCTTTGCTAACTCTGAATCTTCTTGGACTCCTTGCAAGCAAAAGAAATGAGGTTTGACTGGAACTGTTTCTTAGAGAGAGTGAATATTGTTGGCAGAAAGCTGGTATTCCATGCTCATTCAGCAGTCTAGAGTTGACAGTCTAGACAAAGAATTGTTTTAGTTCATTGCAGCAAAACCAGAGCCTGAGAGCTTAAGGGAAAACTCAGTAACACCGCAAAACATAGAAAAGGCCTTAGATTCAATCCCTGTAGCTTCCAATTGGGTTGGAATAAATTGTACTTTAAAATCCCATCGATTTAAGGCCTGCAGACGGTACTAACTCAATTATCTGTTTCAACATTAAACAGCTTATTCACATCATTTCCATATGTTTGTTCTTATCAATAAAGGATAATATTTGTAGCTCAGTGTTGAAATATAGGGTCCTTGGTGCTCTTTGAGCTTGGTTGTTTTCTCAGATATTTCTTACCTAGGTAGCATCTTCAGTGCTAGTCCTGATGATGTTAGCACTAATGATGATATTTAATTTTGGTAATAAAATGTCTGCAAGAAAACAACCAAACTCAGAGAGAACCAAGGACTCCTCATTTATTCTTATATCAATTAATTCATCCTTAGCACATATTGATAAATAATTTTGGAATTCTCTTACTATTTTGAAAATGAATTACATATTTCTTTTACTTTTTCCTTACTGTATATTTATTTAACCTATTCTGGCAAAATATAAGAGTTATTTCTTCTGAAATGGAATCATGAAACCTGAGAAATGTGTGCTCTATGTGACTAAAAGCAAATATAATTGGATGGAGATAAAGTTGCATTTAACTGATATGACTGAACCTGGGTTATATTGTGCCTTTTGTGCTTAATATATATATAGAGAGAGATAATGTGGAATCTCCAGCTAGACTGGAGGGAGAGATCAAGAGGGAGATTCTTGTAATATAATTGACTAGCAATAATTTACTATTGAGACTTCACCAGAGGTTCTGATTGCTTTTTCCTGACGGATAAGATGTTCTTTCCTTTTTTGCCTAAATTGGCTGATAGATATGGAAGTTAAAATAATACATTGCTCAGAAAATATAAAAACTAAATTGATTCTGCCTAGTGTGGGATAGTTTTCACAGATACCAATGAAAATGTTAAGAAACAGAGGGAACAGCTGATGGGATATAAAAAGCACAGAGAACAATGTTACAACTATAATATGTAATTAAATTCTATATAATAGATGATTACATTCTTATTTACGAACACATCTTGGCAATGAGTTGCTGAGGTTAGATTACCAGCAATGCAAGCTGGAAATCTCAGAAAAACCTATTTAATTTTCCTGTTTTCTCCCTTCACTATCCCACCAGTTTCAGTTATATTTATTGGTAGAGCTGGAGACTAAACTTTGCATGATAGCATTGTTTGCATTTTAATAAAGACAATTATTTTTTTGTTCATGAAAAAAATAAGAAGCATAGCCATCAAGTCTCAAAGGTTTTTTTTTTTCAAAAAAAAAAAAGCAACTGAACTGTTGTTTTGTTTTGTTTTTGCTTGAAGATG